GCGGATCATGACTTCACACCTCTGGCGATGTGCTAGGGAAAACAAAGCTGAGGTTTGGAAAGATGTCTTGCGTAGCAGTGATATCCATGAGAGCAAATGCTGATGCCAGAGACCGTGTTTCAGGGAAGTGCAAAAGAAGTCTGTGAGATTGCTGTCGTGTATTTATGATTAGTAATTTACATTTAGCGGTAAAATATAATATAAAGCTATTTTGCCTTGCTTTTTGTTTTGTTTTGTTTTCCTTTTCTTTTCTAATTTTCCCGATGAACGTTCTTCATTTAAATCTGTTGTCTTCAGAAATGCTCAGGAACTGCGCGTGGAGAAGGTACAGCTGGAGTTGGAGACGCACGAGATGGAGAAGAAACTACGAGAATTCCGATCAACGCGGAGCAAAGAAAAGGAAGAAAGAGAGTGGGTGAAATCTTAGAGGAGTAAAACGAGTTATTTAAATAACTATCTTACACACTGTCGTCATTCCAATCAAAATGCTCAGTGGGTGTGCAGTTTCCAGCTTGTCCTGATGAACAAGTCATATTCAATTCCCCCCAAGTCTTTTTTGCATGCCCTCAGATGAGGAATGTTGTTTTTTAAAATTACCATTACTTTTGTTTCTTCTGAACTTTATTTGGTCTTTTCCCGTTTTCCTTCCTTCCACTTTATGCTTCTCAATAATTTTTGGTCTAATGACTAAGACAGAAACACACTTTGTGCTCTTGGAAAATTTCCATGTGCAGCACATGGACATCAGTTTATGTTCAGAGCCATTTTTTTATTTTTTATTTTTTTGAGTTGGAATCTCACTCTGTCGCCCAGACTGGAGTGCAGTGGCCACTCCCGACCACCGCAGCCTCCACCTGCTGGGCTCCGGCGTTCCTTCCACCTCAGCCTTCCAAGTAGCTGGAACTACAGGCGCGTGCTACCACACGCGTTTTTTTGATTTTTATTGTAGAGATGAGGTCTCGCTGGCCAGGCGGGTCTCGAACCCGCGGGCTCAGCCAATCCACTCACCTCAGCCTCCCAAAGGCATGGGATTACAGGCTGAGCCACCGAGCCCAGCCCAGAGCCATTTTTATTTATTAAAAGACTTGGTGGTGGGGGAGGGGGGTGGGCAGGAGTTTGTGTGTCCAAATATCAGAATCATTCAAACCCTCAAGTATGTTCAAAATATTTTTAGCAAATGCCAGTTAGTTGAAATTTATTCATGAGTACTCTCTAATATTATATTCGTACATCTGTACTAATTTTACTGAGGTTGTTTTGTTACAAAACAGTAAAAGCGATAATAGTCCAGTAAAACTGATAGTTATATGATGTTTCTCTCATATCTCTTGTGAGTTCTAGACTGACTCCCAGCTCGTTTTCTAGCACATTTTTAATAATTAAAAATTCTCCCACAGACATCTTTGCACAAGTCTATATACATACATGTGTGTGCCTGTGTGTGGTGTGTGTATTTCTGATGTGTATTTTCTCTTATGTTTTCACAAATGAGATTACCTATAAAAATATGGGAATAAACTTATATCCTGTTGTTTTTCTTAATATATTTCAGTGCTGTTAATTGCATCTGCACACACTAATTTACCTCATTTTCTTAGTGACTACAAAGTATTTCTTTCTTTTTTCTTTTCTTTTTTTTTTTTTTTATTGTAGAGACGAGGTCTTACCAAGTTGCCCAGGCTGGTCTTGAACTCCTGAGCTCAGGTAATCCTCTCACTTTGACTTCCCAAAGTGCTGGGATTACAGATGTGAGCCACTGTGCCCGGCCAGAGTATTTCTTTGTGTGGTTATAACAGCACTTATTTTTCAGATCTTCATTAAGTTTTTGGAACTTTATGCTTATAAATATATGCTTCTACATGCATTTTTTCTTACATATGCCAGGGCATCTGTGGGATAAACTCTTGCCTCTGTAATTTTAGGTCAAAGAGTATATACATTATACATTTTGCATTGTGGTAGACATTGAGAAATTATCTTCCAAATAGACTTCAAAAGTTTGTATCTTTCCCTACAGGGTGTGGGAGCATATATTTCACATGCCTTTGCTGTCCAAACTCTTTTAATGTTAAATTTACTTTTGTTTAATTCTCAGTGTTGGCCAGCAAATACCTGTGAAGTATCTTCTGAACCACTAAGGAAAATTCAAATATGTTTACCATAGTCTCATTAGCATTTATATTTGCAGTCCAATTGTGAAAAAGATGCAAGACACAAATGCATACCCTCTCTAATAGCCAGAGTGTTGGTTTCATCAAAGCATCTCATGTTGTACATCATCCCAAGTGATAAAATTTATGATGTGTCTTGTTGCTTTTCTCTTAATAATCCAGTGACCAGTTTTTCTCTCTTCACTGATTTGGACTTAGTTTTAACTTCTGAATTTTACCCATCTGAGAGTTAGAATTCCTGAAATCATCCCCTTTGAGTAAGTTTGATATTTTTAATATTCTAAAGCTTAAATGAGCTTTCAGAATAGTTATATACTTTCTAAGGTCACACAGATAATAAAAGTCATAGGCAGAATGAGAACTTGCCACTCACCAGCCAGGAAGTCCACATCCTAGTCCTAATCATTTATTATCTCTGTGACATTGGGCAAATTGTTGTCTCAGAGATTTTTAAATAAAAATTGGTGTCCCTGAACTAGTAACTTAAAAAAAATTGCGAGGTTCAAGTACAAGTGCTTTGGAAACTGGAAAACTAAAGTTTGCCCTCTTGGCTTTAATAAGGAATTCATCACTTACTAGATCTGCTGAATATTTTGAGGGTACTGCGTTTCCTCTTTACATTAGTGGACACTTAGCTCTTGAAACTGCATGGCAACCTGTAAGGTTTCCTATACTTCAATAAAAGTATCTTTAGTCACTGTGAAGGTTAATTTATAAAATTATAAAAAAATGAAAATTTTAGTTGGTGTTTGGACATTTTGCTTTTATTCAGATACTTCACAAAAGTCACAAATATGGTAGAGCTATATTTTAAAGTTACTGAAGCTATTGGGGCATTATTGATTTTTCATTTTCATTTTGTGCTGGTTTGTTACACATTAACAACTGAATTTCTAGTTCCTAAAATGGGAAAACTACATTTGCTTTCATTAAAAGAAGACATATGTTTAGTAATTACAGTTTCTTTTGTTTAAATCTATTGAAGGTCAAATGAATATCACTGGAAATCTGGAAAAGCGGGAAAATTTGGTCATCAATCACACATTATGTTACAAAACAAAGGAAATATTTTTAAGGTAAGAAGATACTACTTGATTCCCAGGCAATTTACTGAGCAAAAAGATATACATTATTTTTTCAGGTCTTGTATTTTCTTCCATTCTCACAAATTTATGATTCTTATTTTAACGATTTTGCATATTATTGAAATTTTTATTTTTTGTAGGCTAATATGCAACTTTCATTAATTATTCAGTTATGTTTTTGTTTTAATCTACAAGTCCACTTTTAAAAATTTGCATTGAGGTGAATTTTTCCATTTTGAATTTTTTCATTTAGTTCAGTTCTGGTTTAAAGTGTATGGAATACCATGATATGGTTCCAGATTAAGGTGAAAGGTAATATTATTTGACATAACAAATAAAACACTTTATTTCTATCACATTTGTTTAATGTTTATATATGCTGCTTGAGCAATCATTTATTATTTATATACTGTTGATTCCATGTGTGAAGATATGCAAGAAAACAATACTTTTCAGTTTCTCTATAGAAGTTGTCTTTCACTATAGAATTGTCTTACCTTAACTGTGTATTGTAAAAAATAACATTTTATTATATTTAAGTTTAAAGTCAGATAAGTATCTTTTTGTAAAGAAAACTGTTTTGCTTCTGGACCCTTTAGTCCCAGATCTGTGACTTTGTAATTATTAAGTTACACAACATTTTGTTTTTTGTGTCCCTCTCACTAAACTTTCATTGGTTCAGTAGGCATCTGCTGCCATCTGACTTGGCATGTCTCAATTTTTTGGCTTCAAAAAAGTGCTTTTCTTCTCTAGTGTAACTCTTAGTGAGATAGGTTTCTTTAATTTTGGGGCCAAAAGTTTTATAATTCACTTTCCTTTTTCATTAACTTTCTGAAATAGTGTTCAGTGTTTCAGATATATTAAAAATGCTGTTTATTTGTTTATTTTTAACATATTTTTTATTTTAAAATTGTGGGGTACAGTTAAGGGTTAGGTTTACAAATATGCACCATTCAGGCACCCTTGTTGATAAGGGGTGTCTCCCCGTCCCCAGTCAGATATTGACTACCGTTAGTCCCACCTCCCTTCCCCTCCCTACCCCCCCATAGTTTCCCACCACTGTCAGACCTTTTCTTATAGTATTATGATAGATCTTCAGGGTCTGCTATATGAGTGAGAACATGTGATACTCAGATCTTTGTTTCTGTGAGAGATCACTCAGTATTCTAGACTCTAGTTCCATCCAGGTTGCTGCGACATTCATGATTTTGTTCTTTTTTATGGCTGTGTAGTATTCCATCGTGTATATGTACCACATTGTTGTAATTTATTTAATGGCATTTATTAAATGCTTTCTTTGCCTTATAGTGAATGACTCTTGTTTTCAAAGAGATCTTCATTTAATATGCATGGTGAAAGCCATCATGTAATTTTTGCTATAATCACCTAGCATATGAACAATCTGTGCTTGGGAGATAGTAGTTTAGTTTGACAAATATTTGGGAGTTTACAAGTTATAATTGGGAAGAAAAAAATAGTGGCATGTATATCAGAATCCCAGTTCCCCAAACCTCGTAATTAGGTGTGAGGATGGACACGTTGGGACTGGGCAGCTGTGCAAGGCAGGTCCCGAACACGAGAGGGGCAGGAGAGGAGATGGCCTTGAGTGCCAGGCTGAGGACTCTGACTTTCATCAGCTGGATGGGATCCCCGACAGCCTTCCCGCCAGAGAGTAGCACGATTCGGGCAATGACTTATGATGGTTGACCTTAATCAGTATCCAGGGGATTTGTGGTTAGAGCACAGAGCAAGGAGTCTCCAAACTGTTCTGATCGTGTACCACCTTAGAAAAGAATATATTTTGAGCACAGACTTCCTACACATGTATGCCAACTTACTAATATATCATGTGTGTTATAAAATAAAATATGGAAATTAATCATATTAAATATAAATATGAATAGATGTTTCTTGTCTGCTGCCCAGTGTTTTCTTTTCTTTTTTTTTTGAGTTGGAGTCTCACTCTGTCACCCAGACTGGAGTGCAGTGGTTGCTCCTGGCCACTGCAACCTCGACCTGCTGGGCTCTGGTGATCCTTCCGCCTCAGCCTTCTGAGTAGCTGGAATTACAGGCATGTGCTACCATGCCTGGCTGATTTTTTGATTTATTGTAGAGCTGAGGTCTCGCCAAGTTGCCCAGGTGGGTCTCGAACCCGTGGGCTCAGGCAATCCATTCACCTCAGCCTCCCAAAGCACGGGATTACAGGCTGAGCCACTGAGTCCGGCATGCCCAGTGTTTTCTAAGCTCCCTTGGGCCTGCATGCTGCTTTGGAGGTCACTGGTAGAAAGGTGGAGAGACTTATTTGGAAGACTGTTAAAAGAAACTGAAGGTCAGATGAAAGGAGTCTGAATTAGAAAGTCAGCAGAGAAAGTATAAAAGAAAATATGGAACCAAAGACAGCAAGAAATCTGAGGAGGAAGTCACATATAGAACTGATATTCCAGGTTGGCGCAGTGGCTCACACTTGTAATACCTGTAATATCTGTAGCACTTGGGCAGGCTGAGGCCATCTCTACTAAAAAATAAATAAGCCAGATGTGGTGGTGTACACTTGTAGTCCCAGCTACTCAGGAGATTGAAGTGGAAGAATTGCCTGAGCTCAGGAGGTCGAGTCTGCACTGAGCCATGATCGTGTCACTGTACTCCAGCCTGGGTGACAGAATGAGACCCCGACTCAAAAAAAAAAGAACTGATGTTTCAGGTCCTTGACTAGGAGATAGCATACTGAAGGGAGTTAGATGAGTCTAGGTTCACTTCCAGTTTCTGTGTGACAGCTGAAGCTGAGGGAGCCAATGTGCTCTGAGAAACGAGTAAAAAGAAGAGAGACGTGGCGAAGGACGCTTAGGGGAAGCCAGTGTGTGGAGGGCATCAGCCAGAGAGCTTTAATATTTACTCCGTCTGTTGTAGGACCAGGCAACAATTTAGCACTTTCCCTTTTTATTTAGTTAAGTGCTTATGTCACTCCTTAAGAGGCAGTTGTCCTTACTCCAGCTCTGCAGGTGATGTAACTTAACATCAGAGAAGTTAAACAACTCACTTAAGGTCGATGCTAGGGCCAAGATGTGTCATGTAACATGTTTGAGGTCAAAGGCCAGGGCTAAGATGCAGAACACAAGCTCTAGGCTTGTCCTAGGATAATCTGCCCATGCTGCAGTGGGGAAAAAGAATGGCAGGAGCAGAATCAAAGCAGTTCAGTTTCACAGAAGACGACAGCAACGGAGGGCAGTTTTAAGTGCAGATAGTCAGCATTGTCCAACGTGTCGTGCAGTAAACACAGTTTTGAGTATCTGTTTAGACTGCTGTTTCTTAAGGGGGGCAAGTTTGCTTCCCAGGAGACCTTTTCAGATATCTTTGAGAATAATTTTTTGCTAAAGGTATAATGTGAGCTCGGGCTGGAGATGCTACTGAAATCCTATGAGACAGCCCCCCAACTAAGAACTACTTGACCCAAAGGTCAGTGGGGTTGAGGTCAAGAAACCCTAGACTATAACAGACTGTATAGATGACAGTTCACTTACCCTTTCTGAGCATCTGTCAACCGCAGTTGTAGACACACAGCAACACCTGCAGCCACTTCACAGAGTTCTGAGCAAAATGCGTGAGATGATCTATGTGAAATCACTGTAATATTACCTGAACTTCACCTTAAACTGTCTATTTCTGGAGAATAAAAAAGTGGTAAAACTCTGAATTTGATGATTGGATCATTATGAGATAGGGAAGTTTTAGGTTGATGCATAAGGTCATAGCACTTGTTTTTGGCATGGCAACACTGTGGTGTTGGGAGTTCATCATTTGCCATTCGGAGGGACAATGTTGTACTTGTGAATATGCCTCACATTTTGCAGATTTGAAGACAGCTAGTGCTTTTGTGTGCTAAAGAAGATGGAGTGTCAAGTGGGAAAAAAGCAAACACTTTCAACATATTCTTCTGTTTGAGTTTAACAGAGGAGTTAAGGCAGTGGAGCTGGCTCAGAACATTTTTGCTGTGTACAGAGAGAATGACATTGGGGAAAGCATGGAAAGCAAATGGTTTTGTCATTTCAAAGAGGGCCACTTAGACCCGAGTGATTCTTCACATTCAGGAAGACCCTTGGGCTTTGACAAAGACCATTTAAATGCTTTAATTCAGGATGATTCATGTCAGTCAATTTGGCACATATGATGAACTGACCAGTCAACTACAGTGCAACATTTGCATTCCATGGGCAAATGAAAAATGCTACGAACATATGCCTCAGCCCGATAGCTCTCAAAGGGTTGGAAAGAAGGGTAGAACGCCATGAGGAAAGACTGCTGCTGCAGCGAACACGAACGTGGAGGGTGACCTTAACAAGGGCTTATCAGGACCTGGGGAAGACTTTGCACATTGCTTTTTAGAATGGGGAGAGGCTGTGAGCCCATCTGTGGCATGAGAGAGGAACATACTAGGGGAGGACAGGTTGAAAATGTCAAGAGTGATACCAGGTGCGGGGTGTGTGGTCTTTGAAGAGGTGGTTCACTAAAGTGGTCTTCTCCAGGGAAGAAAGACACATTTTTTCTCCTTAGCCAAGAAAGATGGAAGAAGAAGCAGATGGTGATAAAAGCAAATTTCAGGGATTGTGTTTGGCAGTTGGTGAGGCAGAATACTGGAAAGTCGCAATGGAAAGACCTCAACGTTCTTCGTAAAGTTGAAGACTATCATCTGCTTGAGTGAAGGAAGGGGGAGGGGAAGGAGAAGGATTGGCGTTGCCGTTGTGGAAATCAGGATTGGGGTTGAGCAGCAAATGAGTCAATGGGTTGCCGAAGAGCTGGGAGGACCTACGGGAGTGTTGAACATGGATCCGTGGGAGAGCCCACAGTATCCTTCCGTCACAGTGGTGGGTAGACACAGGAGGTCTAAGAGGGAAGAAGTGGGATGATGGAGCTTGGCACTGAGCAGCTTTGGAGTCTAGATGTTGGAGGTGTGGTTTTCAGAATACTGCAAAGGTGCAAGGTTGGGTCACAATGGAGAGGGGCTGAGGAGGCACTCAGGGCTTCATGGTGGCCAGCATGTTGGAGGGTCTTCAGGGCCTCAGATGAGCATGACATCGAGGTCCCTAAGATGATGGACCAGAAGAGTGACGGAGGGAGAGACTGAGCAGGTTGCAGGAGTCCAGGTGGAAGGGGATCCTGAAGCTGATAAAGGCCGCGAGTGGTCAGTGGGGCTTGCTGGGGAGGCGGCTTTGCTGGATGATGACAGTGGGAGAATATTCCGGAAGCAGCATAAATATAGGTGCCATATATACATATTCACACACGTGCATCTATATATACAACATGCACACACAGAGAGAGAAGGGCTTCCTCTCTTCTGGTGAGCAAGAGGGCGGGGAAAGGAGTGCTCCTCTGGGAGGCGCCGGCGAAGGCTGTGTCTGAGGCGGGGCTCCAGGTCACACCAGCTGTTGGGTGGCATGTCTTCAGGAAAGGCATGACGATGAGATGCTCAGTGACTGCTCCCCACTGTCTCCATGGGGTGGTGGGACCCGGGGGAAGGATGGCCATGGGAGAATGACAAGGAGCTCATCGAGCTGAGCCTGAGAAGATCCCGCAAGGGGCTTGCGGGGGAGTTTGGCCTGTGGTGGCCAGAGGCACCGGCGGGAGTCTGGAGGCATTTGGGAGTGCCAGGGCGGCTGACAACACCCGCCAGTTCCACCCCAGTGGCGCAGACTGTATGCCTGTGTGGTAGGTCCGTGAGGCTGCCCTGGTGGTGCCCGATGGCACCCCTCCCTGCCCATGGTGATGGTATGAGGGTCAGTGGTCAGTAAGGCACAGGCGTGGGTGTCTGCATATGTGATGTCTGTATGTGTGAGGGTGGATGTGTATGCATGTGTGTGTATATATATGTGTACATGTACACATGTGCACACATAAATGTGCATGTGTGTATATATGCATGCATGTGAATGTGTATATGCCATACATATATGTATGCACACACACGCTTGTGCATATATGTACTTGCACGTGTGTATATGCATCTGTGTATACATATATTTGTGTATATGTGCTTATGTGTATGTGTGTGTCTGTATTTATATATATAGGTGTCTGTTGTATATTTGCATGTGTGTAGGTATGTGTATATGTATGCGCAGATGTGTATATGTGCGTGTGTGTGTGTATGTGCACATGAGTGTATCCTTGGTCTGATCCTACTCACTCCTCAAGCTTTTCCCAAACAGATAAAAACCAGACCTATGAAGAAGTAGAATTTGGCTAAAAATAACAGCTAGCATCTTGTTTATTGAAATATTTTAATGTAATTTGAATTATTTGAAGTAAATGTGAATGTATTCATAAGGCAGAAAAATGTATTCATAATAATAAAAACAAACTTTAACATTTCTCTAATAATGAGTTCATTCTGCCGTGGCATAGTCATCCATTCTGTCCAGGGCCACCCATCACACAATGACCATGTTTCAATTCACAAGTATCATTAAGGTAATCATATTGGATAATTTTGTTATGAAAAATGAGATTAAATTATCTGTAACTTGTATAATAATGCCAGTTTAAAAATAAAAGTGTGATTCACAGAAAAATTGATGTTTCAATCCTATTTTATTTCTTGCTGTGGTTGGTATTTAGCATCTGAGCAGCTCCTTAAAGAACATGTGTAACAAGTACCCCATGGAAGCAAAACCCTGGATTCACTGAGAGTAATTAGCTCTAAATTTTCACCGACTGTGGCTGGTGCAGCCTCAGATATAGAGGCAGTGACTGTTCTCTGATTTTCGTGTACAAAGTGAGCAGTTGAGCTTGTAATTTGCAGACTGAAAACCAGGGCTGAATTGAGAGTGTCTGTATACCTGCATGCCCCCCAACCCTGCCATGCTCATCTGCACTCTTTAAGTGCTGGTTTTAGTAAGAACAAGGCAAGTCTGTTTGATCGCAGTCTGTTTTGTTCCCTAAAATGCTAAGATCCAAGGATTTCAGGTGATTGTTTATTTGAAATACGGAGTTACTCAGTCTTTTGGCTACAACTTAGGAAAGTCAGGATTCATAAATAATGTATTTGAAGTTTGGATCGGTGGTGCTTAAACATGCAGTTCTCCAAATTTGGCAAATAAGATAATGATTTATGTAAGCAGACTAGCTCAGTCACAACTCAGTCTAGATTTAGTCTACACATATATTAGACTGCGTGTTTCAGAACAAGGAGAGATATAAGACTTAATGAAGATTTTCAATATTTGAATGCTAGCACTTTCTTGAAATCATGATGACATATAATGGCTTTTGATTAAAAATAATTTATGTTTTTAAAAACTGGTTTACATATACTTCCAAAATTTTTTAGTGAATTTTTATTAAATTAATTGAAAGGTTTATACATGTTTTAATGATGATCTCCTATCAATTTTATATTATTTTTAAAAAATAAATTCTTGTTCAAGCTGAATCAAATGCTACAACCTTCTAATATTTTTGTTAGTAACTTAATTAAACTTTCTTTGCATCACAGAATAAAATCTGACAAACAATATCTATTTTATTAATACAGTCTTCTGGCGGAAAAGTGAAATTAAAATTACTGAAGGAACAGATTCAAGGTAAACAGTTTGCCACCATATTTTTAGATACCACAGCTACAATTCCTTTGCTTTTGCCTTTGAACTACATGAAAAATTAAAGTGCTAGAATTGTTTAAGCAATATACAAATTCTAAACACCCAGATGATGACACTTTGATTTTCAAAATACATTTTATTTAGGGTTTTTTTTTGGGAGGCTTTTATGTCAAAAACATCAACTTAGGATATAATCATAATGATAGCATTTTTCAAAAGTGAGGACTTTTCATTGCACTGCTCCTTAAACTTCACTGATATAATCTTTTAACCAGGAAGATAATTTGGTAGTATAAAATTATAAATTTACTCTAGGAAACATTAAACGTTTTGAAAAATTGCTTTACATTTTTTTTTTTTGAGTCGGAGTCTCACTCTGTCATTCAGACTGGAGTGCAGTGGCCACTCCCGGCCACCGCAGCCTCCACCTACTGGGCTCCGGCGATTCTTCCACCTGTAGCTGGAACTACAGGCTTGCGCTATTTTAACAAATTATTTAACAATAGCAAGTACCAAAAATAAAATTTGAATTTATGATAATTCCAAAGGAAATAAGATGCTTTTCTGAAAGATAAACATATCTAATTTTGAGTGATTAAGATAATTTTGTAAGCCGGGCTCAGTGGCTCAACCTGTAATCCTGCGCCTTTGGGAGGCTGAGGTGAGTGGATTGCCTGAAGCCCGCGGGTTCGAGACCCGCCTGGGCAACTTGGCAAGACCTCATCTCTACAATCAATCAAAAAATTAGCCGGGTGTGGTAGCGTGCGCCTGTAGTTCCAGCTACTTGGAAGGCTGAGGTGGAAGGATCGCCGGAGCCCAGCAGGTCGAGGCTGCGGTGGCCGGGAGCGGCCACTGCACTCCAGTCTGGGCGACCGAGTGAGACTCCAATTCAAAAAAAAAAAAAAAAAAATCAGCCGGGCATGGTAGCGCACACTTGTAGTTCCAGCTACTCAGAAGGCTGAGGCAGAAGGATCACTGGAGCCCAGCAGGTCGAGGCTGAGGAGGCCGGGAGCGGCCACTGCACTCCAGTCTGGGCGACAGAGTGAGACTCCAACTCAAAAAAAAAAAAAAAAAAAAAGATAATTTTGTAAAACAAATTTTAGAAATACTTATGCTACACTACTTATATGTTTATGGACACATACACTTATTATAAATATAATAAGTTATATACACTGTTATAAATAGTTAGAACTTGTTCTGTGGGGACTTCTCTTCAATCCAGAGATGGGCAATGTGCCTCGTTTCATTACTTTATCCACTGGAAAACTACACATTATGTTTTTAAATGATTGCTCTAACTTTTTTTTCCTTCCAGAGGCAATGAAGCAACCAGTTATTTATAAAATGTCACATACTTCTGAAGGTGGAAAACCTAAGATTAAAGGGAAGGCTTGCGGACAGTGTGAGAACAGAGCTGCCCTGCTGGTAAGTGCACGGTCACGAGCCCCAGATGTGCCCTTTCACACGGCCTGTCTCTGGTTCCAGCACAGCTTGCCTTGGTGGCCAGATGCTTTTCCTCCTCACTGTGCACACTGCTGGCAGTTACCTCCTTCTTGCATAGGACGTTACCTCAGTCCTTGTCCTGTCCTTTCATAAGGACATTACCTTATGCCCGTATCCCCTCTCCCTTGGGCCACGCCTGTCAGCACACACACATGCTGCAGTGTCTTCCATCCACGACCAAAACCAAACCAAAGCTACCACACAATTGTTGTAGCCTCAAACCTTCCTCTGCTCCCCTGTGTTGTAAAACTCTTCCGAAGCATTATCTATACCCACTGTCGTCATATTCTTTCCTCCTGCTGTCTGCCTTTTAAAAAAACTGAGGTGTAATTTACTTTCCGTAAAATAGACAGATCTCAATGGACAATTCGGTGCCTTTTGACAAATGTGTACACCCTGACAGGATATATTGACAGTTACCTCACCCCAGAAGTTTCCTGCTTGCCTCTGCCATCAATCCCCACCTCAAAGGCAACTACTGTTCTGGTTTTTAAACCTAGCAGTGCCTATTGTTGAACTTTACGTCAGTGGAATGATACAGTACACATTTTTCGAATCCTTTTGCTCCACATGAAAAGGCAAATGTGGTAACTGATCAGTAATTTGTTTGGGTGTATCTGTGAATAGTATGGAATTACACAGATATGCCACAATTTGTCCCACATTGGATGACATTTGGGTTGTTTCAGTGTTTTGCTCTTATGCTTAAGGTTGCTGTGCACCTTTATGGGCCAATCTTTTTTGTTTATTCTTCCTTCTCGTAAAAGTTATTAAGTGAAACTAAAATAAGTACAGAAAATTGTGCATACTGACAGCTCTTTCATTGTGACCAATTTTATGAACATTTAAAAAAATTGTGGTAGAACCATCTGCAACTTAACATCCTTGCTATTTTAAGTGGCAGTTTAGTGGCATTAAGTGTATTCACGTTGTTAGGATAGTGTCACCACCACTGATTCACAGAACTCTTTTCATTTTACAAAACTGGAGTTCTGTACCCATTGAATACTGATGCTCAGACCCTAGCAAACACTGTTTTACTTTCCGTCTCTAAGAATTTGGAATCATATGTTATTTGTCCTTTTTGTCATTGACTTCTTTCACTCAGAATAATATTCATAAGTTTTGATGAGGATGTAGCATATATCAGAATTTCTTTTCTTTTTAAGGCTGAATGAAGTTTGGTTTATGTATATACCCCACTGCATTTATCTATTCATCTGTTGATGGACACCTGGCTGCTTCCAGCTTTTGGTGATTGTTTTCTTGTTTTTGTTTTGTTTTGTTTTGTTTTTTTGAGTTGGAGTCTCACTCTGCTGCCCTGGCTAGAGTACAGTGGCACATTCACGGCCACCACAGCCTCAACCTGCTGGGCTCAGGCGATCCTTCTGCCTCAGCCTTTCAAGTAGCTGGAACTACAGACTCACGCCACCACGCCCAGCTAATTTTTTGATTTATTGTAGAGTCGAGGTCTCACCAAGTTGCCCATACTGGTCTCAAACCCCTGGATTCAGGCAATCCTCTTGCCTCAGCCTCCCAAAGTGCTGGGATTACAGACTTGAGCCATCATGCCTGGACTCGGTGATTGCTAGTAGTGCTCTAAGAGATTCTGCTTTCAGTACTTTTGGGGATAGACCCAGAAGTGCAACAGCTATATTCCCATTCTCTTTGAATTCTCTATATTCCATCTTGGGTCTCTACCACTATCCAGCAACTGTCTTTACCAAGATCGCCAGTGACTTCCACATCTTTAAACATAGTAGTCGATGCTCAGTTCTTACCTTAATTTATTAGGAATGTTTGATCTGTTTGATAAGACAGGAAGCCTCTCCTTATCCATGCCTCTCCTTACTTGGCCTCCTCTGGGACACCGTGCTTCCTTGGTTTCATTTTATGTTGATACTTATTTCTCCTCAGCCTTCTTTGCTGTTTTTCTGTATTCTCGGCCTCTTAAAGGGCTCAGTCTTTAAGCCTCTCCTCTAGTCCATCTACAGGTGCTCTCTGGTTCTTTTATCCAACCTCTTGGCTTTGAAAACTATATATATATTGACAGTTTCTTATTTATTTATTTATTTTTGAGTCAGAGTCTCACTCTGTTTCCTGGGCTGGAGTGCAGTGGCAGGAATGTGGCTCACCTCAGCCTCGAACTCCTGGACTCAAGTGATCCTCCCGCCTTAGTCTCCTGAGTAGCTGGGATTTCAGGCACACTCTACCACACCTGGCTAATTATTGGATTTTTTTTGTAGAGATGAGGTGTTGTTATGTTACCTAGGCTGGTCTTGAACTCCTGGACTCAAGCAGTCCTCTTGCCTCAGCCTTCCAAAGTGCTGGGATCATAGACTTGCGCATTGTGCCTGGCCTGATTTCCTAATTTACACATCCACTCCATCCTCTCCCCTGAACTTTTGACTCAAACTGCCTACTCCAGGCTGGAGTACAGTGACACACTCATGACCACCACAGCCTCGACCTGCTGGGCCTTTACTGAATGTCTAATAGACATCACTATCTTAATATGTCCAAAACTAAGCCCTTAATTTTTCTCCAATAAATATTCTTCCATCCCAGTTTCTTCATACACATGTCAATTCAAATGTTACCTACCCCAACAGCCCTTTTTAAAATAGCAAAAGCTGTCTTGCACCCTCTAGTTTTGTGAAGCGACTTTAATTATCTACATGACATTGATCACCACTTAATATATATTCATTTGGTTATTTTCTTCCTAAATGTAAACTTTGTGAGGGTGGGAGCTCAGTTTTGTTTACTTTTTGGGTTCACCACCTAGAATTATGTCTGCAGGGTTGTAGGCACTCAGCAAGTATTTATTGAACGAATAATTTCTTTAAAACTATTTTATGACTGGGTTCGATGGCTCAGCCTGTAATCCCAGCACTTTGGGAGGCCGAGGCGAGTGGATTGCCTGAACCCGCGGGTTTGAGACCCGCCTGGGCAACTTGGTGAGACCTCGTCTCTACAACAAATAAAAAATTAGCTGGGTGTGGCAGCACATGCCTGTAGTTCTGGCTACTTGGAAGACTGAGGCAGAAGGATTGCTAGAGCCCAGCAGGGTGAGGCTGCAGTGGCCGGGAGCGTGCCACTGCACTCCAGTCTGGATGACAGAGTGAGACTCCAACTCAAATAATGGAGACTTTAATTTAGACCTATTTTTCTTTAGGTTAGCATTGAAGACATTCCAATATTTTTAGTGATTTTATTTTATTTTTTTTGAGTCGGAGTCTCACTCTGTCACTCAGACTGAAGTGCAGTGGCCGCTCCCGGCCACCACAGCCTTGGCCTGCTGGGCTCTGGCGATCCTTCCGCCTCAGCCTTTCAAGCAGCTGGAACTACAGGCCCATGCTACCACGCCCGGCTGATTTTTTGATTTATTGTTGAGATGAGGTCTCACCAAGTTGCCCAGGTGGGTCTTGAACTCGCGGGCTCAGGCAATCCACTCACCTCAGCCTCCCAAAGGCATGGGATTACAGGCTGAGCCATCGAATGATTTTAAATAGCATGCATAGGTAGGAAGCAGTTACCCCCTCCTGGAATTCAATAATTGTAACTTTGTAACTAATATTTGTAGATTATGTTATTTCAGAGAACTTTGCATAATTTTTGACATAAGGCTATATTAATAGGCTTATTTAATGGCAGTTTTAACTGACTCAAAGAGAATGCTGCATATCTGATTATGTGACGTAAAGTGTAAAACCCTGGCTCTTGGTGATATAATGTTCTTATTACATCATATATTTTTTTGTTTGATATAATGGTGGTCAATAATTTAAGGAATCTTTAAAAATTGTAATTGTTGGTCAGGCATGGTGGCTCATGCCTATAGTCCTAGCACTTTGGGAGGCCGAGGTGAGAGGATTGCCTGAGCCCATGAATTTAAGACCAGCCTGGGCAACTTGGCAAGACCTCATCTATACAATAAATCAAAAAATTAGCTACGCATGGTGGCACATGCCTGTAGTTCCAGCTACTTGGAAGGCTGAGGCAGAAGAATTTCCTCAGCCCAGTAGGCCAAGACTGCGGTAGCCATGAGCATGTCACTGCATCCAGCCTGGGTGACACTTAAAAAAATAAATTGTTAAGAACTCTAAAAATTCTAAGCAAATGTTGATATCCTTGAATTAGAGGTATGAGAGCCACAGGGGAATTGCTGGTTAGATTGAATTGTGGAATCTGCTATTAATGATCTGAAAAGGATTTATATATAGGAGCTATGAGTCAATATTTCTTGTAAATTTTCTGCAAAATGCAAAAGATACTGGAATCTCTTCGATGCAAACTGAAAGGAAAATAGGTCTAAATTAAAGAAAAAGTCTATTTTATGAAATAGTAAAGAAATAATTCATTCAATATGTATTTATTGAATGCCTACTCTGTGTTAAACACTTTTTTTTTTAGTTGGATCCTTACTTCCAGGCCAAGCCTTGTCCTTATGTCATGTTGTTCAAACTCCATGGCCTTTAAAAAGTATTCAACAGCAGGGCGCGTTGGCTTACATCTATAATCCCAGCACTTTGGGAGGCTGAGGTGAGAGGATTACCTGAGCCTGCCAGACAGGATGAATAGCATGTACCCTGACTGGAAAGCAGATGAGTGTGACAATATGTGTGGTGATTAAACAGCTGACTTGCCTGAAAAGTGCTGTGTACAGAAGCTAGAATCGAGGCCCTAAACATTCTTAAAGAATTTTGCACCAAGGTGAGAGGTGCCTGGGTCCAGGGGTTTCAAGATCAGCCCGGACAACTTGGTGAGACCTCATCGCCACAATAAATCAAGAAAAATTAGCCAGGCATGGTGGCATATACCTGTAGTTCCAGCTTCTGGGAAGTCTCAGGTGGAAGGATCACCTAAGCCCAGCAGGTAGAGGTTGCGGTGGGCTGTGAGCGTGCCACTGTACTCCAGCCTGGCTTGAGACTCCGACTCAAAAAAAAAAAAAAAAAAAGAATTTGCTAAGGTTCTAAGAAGGATTGGTCTTTGATTTGAAATAAAAATAATGCTTTATGATTATTGTCAAAACACTACAATAAACTATTTAAAAATTCAAATTAAGCAGATCTAATGAGGTAGACTGCAGTATTGTTAAACTCTGAGCTAATCTTGAGTTCTTAAACTTATATGCTGCATGCGTTTATGCTGACTGCATCTTTTTTTTTTTGAGTTGGAGTCTCACTCTGTCACCCAGACTGAAGTGCAGTGGCCGCTCCCCGCCACCGCAGCCTCAACCTGCTGGGCTCCGGTGATCCTTCCGCCTCAGCCTTCCAAGTAGCCGGAACTACAGGCGACCACGCCCGGCTCATTTTTTTTTTATTTATTGTAGAGATGAGGTCTTGCCAAGTTGCCCAGGCAGGTCTTGAACCCGCGGGCTCAGGCATTCCACTCACCTCAGCCTCCCAAAGGTGCGGGATTACAGGCTGAGCCACCGAGTCTGGCTGCTGACTGCATCTTTAGGGTGATATTTCCTTGGTCTCCATCAGGGGAAATGTGTATGGGAGAGGGGGGGCAAGAGCTTGTGTTTTGGGAGTTTGATGCTCAGTTGTAGCTGCTGTTAGCTGTGTGACCTTCAACAAATGTCTTCTTAATCCCTTTACCTCTCTGTTTCCTCATTTCTCAAATAAGTTAGCGACAACAGTAATCGATACCCCCAAATTATCAAGGGCAGTGAGTCAGTGCATGCGAAATATGTAGCATTGTGTCTGGCATATAGAGAAAAGACAATAAACTGTGTGTTTTTGTTGTTGGCACTTTTTAATGACCTAATGCATTTGCATATCTCGATGGCAAAGATAAAGACCCAGACTTCCAAATTTCCTATGTATATATTTGGCAAGTGTGACTGATTTAATTAAGCTTAGTTGGATCATGAAGACTTAGCACAAGTGATCTGGCACTCATCACATTAACAAGATCTTTGTTAAAACGGCACCTGGGAATTCCATTGCTGAAGAAGCGTCTGTGGTGGGACAGAGTTCTTAATGACATTTTCAGCATGTTCCTGCCAGTTATACAAACTGTCTAAAAAGATTACCAGTTGGCAGTAATTTTAACCCAATTTAAATCCAAATATGCTTGTATACCAAAATGTGTAAGCTTACAGCACAACTGCAGCTTTGATCTTCCAGTCTGCACATTTGGCTACTTTAAGTCTGCTGTTAACAAACATTTGGCTGTAGAATTATATGCTGAAACTTGTTTTCAGCTTTCTATATTACATTACAAAAACAGTGCCAAATAGTTTTGCAAAAGTCATTGAAACATTAGCAGGTGTAGTCAATAAAAATTATGCAGAATACATTTTGAAATTCATATTGACATAGCAATGAAATCATATATTCATGTAAAGTTATGGTTTTTAAATTGACTTTACATTTAAAATTATGGATTCAGGATCATATTTTTGTCATCATTTCTTTAGCAGAATGCATCCCTCGAAACAAGCGTTGAAAGGGTAGGAGTGGTTCCTATGCTAGTGATACTGTTTATTTTTCTTTGGCTTAAATAAAATAATACAAACTATATTTGGAATTTTTTTTGAAATTTTTTTTACTCTGCTGCTTATGTCGGAGTGCAGTGGCATGATCATTGTTCACTGTAGCCTTGATCTTCTGGGCTCAAGAGCTTCTCCCACCTCAGCCTCCTGAGTAGCTAATACAAGTATGTGCCACCAAGCCCAACTAATTTTTGTATTGTTATTTGTGGAGACGTGCTTACGTCATATTGCCTAGACTGGTCTCAAACTCCTGGGCTCAAGCAATCCTGCTTTGGCCTCCCAAAGTGCTGATATTATAGGCGTGAGACACTGTGCCAGGCCATGTTTGCATTTTGATAAATACCAGACCATGCAGTCATGTGAAATATTAGATTTTATTTTATTGTGGATTTTATTGAGGTTTTTCGATACAGTTTCCAACTTACTGTAGTTTGACTTAGGATTTTTTGACTTTATAATGGTGCAAAAGCAAGATGTAATCTGTAGAAACCATACTTAAAAGCTTTAATTTTGATTTTTTGGAGTAGTCTTAATCATGTTCCCTTGTTGCCCCTTCTTCACAGTGGAAATACAGCAGCACTCTAACTTTATTGGGCTGTCGTGGGATTAGACAAGAAGGGGTATATCATCCCACTCTTCCATTGGGACAGGGAACATGTGCTCACAGAATTGTGGACATTGTTATTGTTATTTGAAACTAACCCCCTTTTCAAGTTTTATTTTAATTATATAAAATTTTTTGCTCTTTAAACCCATGTTTTTTTTTAATTGTGAAGTTGTGGGGTACAGTTAAGGGTTAGGTATACAATTGCATTTCATTCAGGCACCCTGTTGATATGGGGTGTTTCCCCGTTCCCAGACAGATATTTGCTACTGTTAATCCCATCTCCCTCCCCCCACCATAGTTTCCCAGTACGGTCAGTCATTTTCGTATAGTATTGCATTGGATGTTTAAGGTCCATTATATGAGTGAGAACATGTGATACTCAGATCTTTGTTTCTGTGAGAGGTCACTCAGTATTATAGACTCTAGTTTTATCCAGGTTGCTGCGAAATTCATGATTTTGTTCTTTTTTATGGCTGCGTAGTATTCCATCATGTATATGTACCACATTTTTTTAATCCAGTCCTCTTTTGACGGGCAGCATGGCTGTTTCCAGGTTCTTGCTATTGTGAACAATGCTGCGATAAACATGCGTGTGCAGGTATCTTTTTTATAGAGTGATTTGTGTTCTTCAGGATATATCCCAAAGGGGGATTGTGGGGTCATATGGGAGGTTGGTATTTAGAGCTTTTAAGAATCGCCACACTGCTTTCCACAGAGGTTGCACTAGTTTACACTCCCACCAACAGTGTAGAAGTGTTCCCTTTTCACCACACCCTCTCCAGCAGCTGTTATTTTTTGAGTTGTTGATGATTGCCATTCTGACTGGGGTTAGGTGGTATCTCAGTGTGTAAACCCATGTTTTTTAGTATTGTCCTATTCATTTTATATTCAGGAAACCTGGCTACATCATTGCAGGTATCTGCATCACTACATAGGAATTTTAAGACAATTTTTATTTTTGATTTTTGAATTGGGATCTCACTTTATCACCCAGGCTGGAGTGCATTGGTGTGATCACAACTCACCACAGCCTCGACCTCCTGGACTTAGGCATTCCTCCTGCCTCAGCCTCCCAAGTAGCTGGGACCACAGGCATGAGCTACCAGACCCAGCAATTTTTTAGATTCTTTTGTAGAGATGAGGTCTCACTATGTTGCCCAAGTTGGTCTTGAACTACTGGGTTCAAGTGATCCTCTCACTTCAGTCTCCCAAAGTGCTGGGATTACTGGCGTGAGCCATTACGTCCCACTTTAGCATAATTTTTAAAACTTAATGGACTTAAAAACCTCCTGTTGGGTTTTAATAGGAGTGCAGTCTGCTTTTCCATGCTGTATGTGGTCCAGTGCTTGGTACTCACTTGGGTCCGCGTTGCCACACAAAAGCACTGACTGGGGGCTTGTGAGAATGCAGGGTCCCAGGTCCCTCCCAGACCTGCTGAGCCAGAGACTGTGTTGTTGTAGATCCTAGGTGACACACACACACACACACACACACACACACACACACACACACACACACACACACACTGCACTCACCTGACTGCCCACCTCAGTCCAGCCTGACCAGCGCAAGGCAGGAGAGCTTGGCTGATGTGTCGCCGGACTAACCCAGCACTTTTTACTTGTTACTCCTTGATGCGAAGGAAGAGACAGGAGAGAGAATAGAAGGCGGGAGCCCTGGGAGGAAAGGAAGAGGGTCAGAGGAACCCTGAGGCCCTTGGCACGGACACCCTGCACCACCCAGGCCCTCCTGCTCTCTTAGTTGTGCTGCTAGTGGTTCCTTCTACCCCGGGCCAAATGAGGGCAAAGTCATGGGCATGGGGGCCGTGGTCACACTGTCAAGATTGCAGGGCGGGATGCAAGTGGAGCGTTGTCATTTGTAGTAAGACCTCCATTCTCTTTTCTCTTTACTCCCAGTCTTGCTTGGCACTTTCATAGGTGCAGGTATGTTGCATTACTCAACTTCTCCATACGTTTTAAAAATGACTTTTTAACATCATGGAGAGTTTGGGAGGTAAACGTAAACTTGCCCATGCTTGTTTCATCAGTCATGAACATTGCTGATGTGGCACTGTGGTTCCGTACAATTTTTTTTCTTATTCTTTTTTCCTGTGGGGACTCTTCTAAGAGTGCTTTTAAAACCATAGTTGAGAACCACCAGTGAAGATATACCTTTCAAGGCAGTATATGGGAACTTTCGGAGGAAAATAGCATGCATGTCATTCTAAGCTAATTGTGCTGTGTAATCCATACAGAAAGATGGAATAACTTATGAAAATCAAGGAGTTTTTGATGAGCCATGATGCTGTTTAGATCTTACAAGGTCAAGAAATTTTAGCTGAGACTGCTTGGTGGGTTTATGATTTATTCAGAAATTGTATATACATACACACATCTGTCACATATGCCTAAAACCTAGATTGAGGTTATTGCAGGTATTTTGAGATGAGAATAATTGATATTTACAAATTAGTTTTCCTCAGAGCTAAATCTAAATAGCTGTCCTAGTTTTTTTTTGGGCGGGAGGGCCTTCTCAATTCCGATGACACCGAGGTGTGTAACTTGAAAATATGCAAACAATTACAAATTTATGCAAACGTTTTATCAGAAGTATGCTATTAAAGATTATGTGATTTTTTAAAATGAAAATGTCTTTTAAGGTGTGCCTCGAGTGTGGCGAAGACTATTGTTCGGGCTGCTTTGCTAAAATACACCAGAAGGGGGCACTAAAACTCCACAGAACAACGCTTCTGCAGGTAGGATCTGAAACACCCTTGTGTCTTTGTGGTTTCAACATAAAGGTGTTTAATACATGTTTAATTATCTAGGACTTAGGGTGATTTACATTAGTTTCCAAAACTCTGTTATGTATATGACATATACCTTAAAATTATTTTACTGAACACCAATCTAGATTTCATTTTGCTATTTAGGCCATGTTTTAATAGAGTGGCTGAAACACTTAGCTTGATCAGAGCCTCCGGATTGTGGATTCTGTCTGTGAGCCTGACATTTAAAAATGAGGTAATATTTTTTATGGTGGTTTCAAAAGAAATCATGGATTATTTTAAATGCTATTCCTATGAGGTTTATAAATAGAAATCTCTTATGTTTTCTTTTCATGTTTATTTAAATAACTAGTTTTAAAATTTATCTTCACTCATTATCATGTTGGTAAGCTTATCTCTCAGGTTCCTAGTTTTCCTTCCTATAAGGACCTTTTGTTTACCTTTATATAGTCACTGCTTTTTGAAATGCCTAAACTCAAGTGACTTTAAAATTTCTATACTTAAACAATAAATAGGCTAAATATAGACACAACACTACACTAGTTACATTTGATGATGCATTGATTTGTCACAGATTTTATTCATTATACAATAATTTACTCAACAAATATTTATCGGATGACTTCTGGAAGGTAGGTCTGTACTGAGAAGTGAGCTTACACAGGGAATTGCTCCAGGATCCTGCTGGAGCTTAAAGATAAAAGAACCACCCTTGTGTAATGGGTTAAGGATTTTGATATCTTGTAGGCAAAAGAAAGGGGATGATCAGATCTGCATTTAGAAGGGTCACTGGTAATTGCAGTCCATATGTGTTGCCTCAGTGTATATGCCAGGTACTGCCAAGGATGCTGACAGCCCAAGTTACGACAACCACACAACATAGACAGACCTACCTCACTCATAGTTACATGAGACTTTTGGATGACTGCCCAATGTTACAGCCTCTGGAAGGAAATGCTGCAGGGAAAACAAAAACCAGCCTGCCTCCTTCCTCCCTCATGATACCAAGATCAGACAGTCATAGAAGCGAATATGAGAAGGTGAATCGACCTAAGAGTGAACCTAATTGTTAATATGTAACAATTCCCTTCCCTCTCCCTCCCTCTCCTTCTCCTCACTCTCTTTCCCGCCCTCTCCCTCCCTCTCTCCCCCTCTCCCAATCACAGTTTCTAAAGACAGTCGGACTTTGCTGTGGTGGGGCTTACTGTTACACAGCCGTAGACATGCTGTGGTCACATCACACTTCCTAGAAGCCACACGACATAGAGTGTGTTTTCTGAACATCGAGCATTCCTCTATTCCACATTAATGTATTCAAGTATGTGTATTCTATAGCTTAACATGGAAGAAAGCGGTCTTTGTAAATAAGAATCCTGTAAAATTCCAAGCGTAGATTTGATTAAAGAAGTGAGGAAGCTGGGCTCGGTGGCTCAGCCTGTAATCCCGTGTCTTTGGGAGGCTGAGGTGAGTGGATTGCCTGAGCCCGCGGGTTTGAGACCCGCCTGGGCAACTTGGTGAGACCTCATCTCTACAATAAATAAAAAATTAGTTGGGCGTGGTAGCGCATGCCTGTAGTTCCAGCTACTTGGAAGGCTGAGGCGGAAGGATCGTCAGAGCCCGGCAGGTCGAGGCTGCGGTAGCCGGGAGCAACCACTGCACTCCAGTCTGGGTGACAGAGTGAGACTCCAACTCAAAAAAAAAAAAGAAGTGAGGAAATATTTACTAAATATATACTTCCTGCCATACATTTGTGTTTGTAATTTTAAAATATGTTGACTTTTGTGTTTCTTCTGTAGTTTTCTTCAGGTTACATAGTAACTTCTTCACAGAGTGTTTACAATAGTCTACAGATGTTTGCCCTCCATCTTTATTGAGTTTTAATTGACAAATAAAAGTTGTGTATATTTGAGGTGTAAAAGTTGGTGTTTTGATGTACATAAGCACTGGATTTCACATGGTGAAGTCAAGCTAAGGAACATCTCTACACATCACGTCCCATCCCCATTCCTCGTTCCCTCCCTCCCTCTCTTTGGTAAGAGCACTTAAGCCGCTGCTGCCTGTGTCGTGTTTCCTTCAGGGGAGGAAACGTCGGTGAACCCAAATAGCAAATGGTGTTTATGTTCCTCATGAATCTCAAATTGTGGAATGTGCTCGGACCTCCAAAAGTTAGCACCCATCAAAGAGCAGGGAAGAAACTGGGCACCCTTGAAAGAATTCGTCAAACAAGAGAACCATCTGTATGCATACGATTAAAGGCAGCAGCAGCGAAGGGCCTGTTGTCTCCTCTGAGCCTGGGGGCTCCGTGTGCTGCCCGGTCTGTGGAGACCACGGCTCCTGCCTGGTGCTGTGGTGGGGAGAGCCGGGGGGGGGGCACCATCCCCTAGGGGAGGGGATTTGGAGGTGGCACCTGGCAAGGGCACACGCAGGCCTCCTGGCACTCTCTTCTCTCATTCCCTTAGTGACGCCGTCTCACCCATTGGGTTCCCAGAAAATGAAATACTTGGAAGGAGACAATTCTTTTTAATATAATTCAAGTAAATTTGTCTGCTTACTAACAAAACAAAAATCATAAATTAAAAAAAATTTTTTTTTAAATTTAGACTCCACATCTGAGTGAGATCTTGCATTTTTCTTCTTTTTTTTGTCTGGTTATTTCACTGAGCACAACAACCTCCAGGTTCATCCGTGGAGCCAAAAATGCCTCCCTTTTTTTTTTTTTAAATGGTAGAATAACATTCCACTGTGTGTACACAGGTGCTCTGCCCACAAAACATAACTCCTCCAAGAGGTGATGGGCATTCAAATGTGCTTGATTATAGCTATTATTTCACAATGTACAAGGGAGGACCCCCACAAGTGGAATTTATTTATAAAAATTATGTATTTATTCTTACATGTTTAAACTTCAATCACCTTCAAAGTACTCTCTGTTTGATGCAATACACCAGTGGAGACTCTTTCTTCACTGCTCAAAACGGTTTTTGCACTCATTGATTTTCATGCCTTTTAGTGCTTCTGCCCTTTTTTGTTTCACCTCTTCCACATCAGCAACACGTTTTTCTTTGAGAAATTTTTAAATCTGTGGAAACCAAAAAAAAGTCACTTGGGTGAGATCAGGTGAATAGGGAGGGTGGGGTGTGAGGGTCATGCTGTTTGAGTCGAAAACTGCTGAACACTTAGTACAGTGTGGGCAGGTATACTCGTGAAAGCACCCATCATGAAATGGGCAAATGCATTGAAAGACTATCCCCCCCCCAAAAAAAGAGTTCACTGTATTATAAGGGACTTGCCCTCCAAAAAATAATTCTGGATTTTTTGCCCCCCCCCCCGAGCATCTTGCATATACCTTAAGTACATAAAAATCGTTTTTTGAAAGAAATGATTTCAAATTGTATTATACTTCCTGCTGCAGGTGGTACACAGTGAAGGCAGTGGCGCTTTGTATGAGTGACTCACACCTGTTTATCATGACCATGAGCGGGAAAGAGTTCTCAGTCACTGGTGTCACATGCTCTGTGCTCCTCCTCGGATGCTTCCTGTCGGGGCTGGTGCTCTGTTTTACTCCTGCCCCGTGGCCTCACCAGGCCTCTTCCATCACTTCTTGACCTCAGCCAGTGATCCCTTTGGCTATCCACCATTCTCTTCCTATTTCTGTTCTCTATTTAACCTTTAATTTTTTCCAGTCAGCTTGCTTTTTTCTTGTTTCCAACATTTTCACCTGTCTTTCCTTTTCCATTAAGGTTCTCACTATGTTTTGGCCTTGATGGCCCTTTGATCTGAAAGGAGAGGCTATTTCTTTCTGCTTAGCCCTCATGAACCAGTCAAGTAGTGTTTTTTAGTTTCTCATCATTTTGGTAACTATTCATATTAAAGTCATGAGACTTTGTTGATTGCTGAATTCATACCTAACTTGAGAAGTCAGAGCATACATCTGATAGATGACTATTAAGCATTACTGTATAAAAAGCATACATTCTAGGCTAGTGGATTTTATACTTTAATTCTTTAACCTACACTGTTGTTGCTGGTTACTGTGAAGTGTCTCCCAATCCAACAGTTGAAGCCATTTCAGCTTTGAACCTGCAGCCCAGTGAGTCCTGTGAATTCAGTCAGCAGGGACCGTTTTGTACCAGCATTTCTTGTTTTACTTATGAGATAAATTCCTGAAAAAAATGGAAGGCAAGCTATTACTACTTACATGTTGATTAGCCTAATTTCAAAGGGCCTTTCTTTTGATTTTTGCTTGATTTGTACTTGGTGGGGATTCAAAATGCTTCAAGATTTTTTTTGCCTCCTCCAACTTCTGTTAAATAGTTAATTATCCACAAAATAAAGCCAAACTGTGTGAGGGAAATCACTAACCATGAAAGCTCTGCTTCCATATATAGAAGGATCGTCAGCCCCAAGGGCTGAAACAAGCTTTTTTTCCAGATAAAAAATGAAGTCTGAATACACCAGGCATTCCTGCTTCCTTTGAACAACATATGATCAAACAGAAGAGACGTGGTTAATCAGACATAGCAGATGGGGAAAGCAAACAAAAGGCGTTCTACTGTGCAGTGTGATGTGTGAGGGAGGTTAGAGTAGGTAAGTCACTAGACGGTGGCAAGTGCATTTCCTTAATTGATAAATGGAGACGTTCTTTTTTTTTTTTTTTTTTTTTTAGTTGACGTCTCACTCTGTCACCCAGGCTGGAGTGCAGTGGCACATTCACGGCCACCACAGCCTCGACCTGCTGGGCTCAGGCGATCCTTCAGCCTCAGCCTCCCCAGTAGCTGGGACTACAGGCATGCACCACCATACCTGGTGAATTTTTTGATTTATTGTAGAGATGAGGTCTTGCCAAATTGCCCAGGCTGGTCTCGAACCCGTGGGCTCAAGCAATCCTCTCACCTCGGCCTTCCAAAGTGCTGGGATTATAGGTATCAGGCACCATGCCCAGCCTGGAGATATTCATTTTTATTATT